TTGTGCATGTTTAGCAGGTAGCTTTGCAGGTAGGTTTCTTCAAGCATCTTGGAGATGTTGCCACGGTTATTCTGGATTTAGTTTGTCTGAGTTTTTTCTGTTTCTTCATGTATTCACTGACAGGCTGGATGATGGTGAGATCAGATCTCTGTGTGGAGCACTCGCTGTTGTCAGACTCCTTGTGCATACAAAAATCTAACTGGATTATTACAGTACAATTAATGGCAAAAGAAATGTGTTGGAAATGTAAACTGATATTTCCTACTGACACACTACAGCGAAAAGAATGATTAGAATTACTGGCTTAAAACCATTTTTTTGTTGGTGAAAATACTAACGGCCTAAGACTTTTGCACAATAGTGTATATATATTAAATCAAATCAGTCCTAAACCTAAATTAATCATTAAAAACAAGTCCTGTTTTTAATGATTAAGTAAAAAGACCTGAAGAGATTTGTTCATGTATTAAATATGAAAAGCCATAAATGCACCAAGTAGAGTGAATGTCAAGATTTTTTAGTCAATAAGGGCATGATTATTACACAAAGTTAGAGGACATGCAATATGGTGCACAACTTGTTTCAACTATAGCTAAGATATGGTGCTTTTGTTCTTTTTGAAGTTAGAAAACATTCATTATAATTTCATGGAAAAGAGTGACCAGTATAGTGCAAAAACAATCTTATTTTGTTCTTCACAGAAGAATGAAAGTCATACTGGTTCAGAAATACATGAGGGGGAGTAAATAATGACAGAATTTGTATTTTTTGAAGTGAACTGTCCCTTTAAAACACTGCAGACTAAAAGATTAAAACATGGACCTCACATCTTAATAAATGCACATGTAGTCATGAACAAACGCAAGACGGCCTTGATGCCTGACAGTGATTGATGTTTATATGGACTGCATCAATACGTTTCTGAAGGGCTGCAGGTAGCACTGGTCTGAGCTGCTAGGGGTCTGTTTAATTGAAGCCTGGCTGCTTTTTTCCTTTCCCCGCGTGCCTCGGCTCATTCAGCAACACTCACTCTCTGCTCTCGCTCCCAGCATCTCCCGCCTTTTGTTCCTCAGACCTACCACCAGCCTGTTTATTTTCCTTCTCAAATTAATTTAACAGAAAGTAATTAAATCTTTGCTTCAACAACCAGCCGTACATAAGTAAATGCAGCGTGATGAAAAGGTGTGTGGAGGGAGGCAGCCGAAAATCAAGAGAAACTGGTGCCAAATGACTGCTGGAGGTTAAATATAATACTAAAGGTTGGAGTCGTAGGGGTTAGGGTTCCTTAATAAAGGAACTGCACATGATTGCAAAAAAAAAAAAAAAAAAAAGAACGGTTGTGGTCAGACTGATGATTTGGGGTTTGTGTGTGTTTACAGTCAGCATTGTTTCAACCCATAAAGTCATAAAGCATTTGGCAGCTACTGTGTGCAAGAAATTAGTTGTAATTAAGTTCTTTGTTAAATAACAGCTGGTTATAATAACAAAAACAAAAATGTTGATTACAATATTGTTTGAAACAAAATATCTTGCGCTAAAAGTTTCCCATATAAAGTTTCCTCGTAGTGATTCTGACACTACAAGTGCATTTATATGCACTGTAAAAGTTAGATTCAGTCGCAATAAAACAATACATAATTGCACATTTTATTTCATCTGGATTAAAAGGACTATCTTCTGATTTTTTTGTGTGAAAGCTGCGGTCATATTTCTAAATCTAGTCATCTGATTTTTAACCTAAGAGCAGGTGCAGCCAATTTGCAAGGCTCCCAGAGCCACTTCCAGCAATATTAGCTATACAAAAGAGTTTGTTATGCTGCTTGATGTTGCAAACTGGTATTTATCAGCATATTTTTTACATTCTAGTAATCACAAATACACCGGTTTGTATCTCAAATAGTTCTACAGTTTACTGCACTTTGCTATTCTTCAATAGTTATGTATATATATATATATATATAACCTATGGCGGTTAAAGTATGTGACACACCAAGCTGAAATCAAAGAACTAGCAGCACCAAAAGCCAACAGTGTATATTGGAATTGTCATGTAACTAAGAAAGTAGAAGAGACTTCTCTGTGCGCCCTCTTCATTTCAGAGTTTTTGCCTGTTTTGTTTTTCTTCTTGTGCACTGTTTCGCTAAGCTAAACAGCCAATCAGTGTGGTCTCTTTCAAAGATGTCTCCAACACGATTCAACATGCTAAATTGGACGAAAAGCCTCTGACTGTGGTCTGATTAGTGCCAAAGTTGTTCATAAACACATCACAAAAATTGGGCAATGGAGAGTGGACCTTTTTTGCCTATGAAATTTGCACCTTCAATCCAGCTTGTATACAAAAAGCCTCTGCACATGCTGTGAAAGACAGTGTTAGGGTGTTTTTAATCCTTGAAATATTTGATTCCAAAATTGTGTCATGTATTCTTAGAGCGAATGAGACTGAAGGTTGAATACACCCCAAAACCCACTGTAGTGAGAGAGTGACGTGACATGTGGCCAAGTATGGTGACCCATACTCGGAATTAGTGCTCTGCATTTATCCAAGTGCAAACATACATGTAAACGTACTTACTGAGATGATTTAAATGACAGCTGATTCTCAAGACTTATTAGCCAACCTAAATGAGTGCTGTTCCAAACCTGCATGACTTATCTTCTTCTGTGGAATATAAAAGACGACATATTGAGGAATGTCTCAGTGGTTTTTGTCCATACAATGGAAATAAATGGTCACCTAAATGGTTTGGTTACCAACAATTTTCCAAAAGTGTTAGTGTTCCACTAAAGAAATGCAAACAGGTTTGGAACAACATGAGTGTGAGTAAAATAATTTTATTTTTGGGTGATTTTCTTTCTTTTAGTAGATCTAGTAGGTTGTTTGTGTCTTACAAAGATGACTATGGGCCAGTCATTAGTAGACGTCTTAGCAGACGTCTAGAGGTCTATTGAGAAGCTGTCTGGGGTTGGTCTGAGGCATGAGTTTAGAGGTCTCGCTCGAGTTCAACGAGTGTCTTTGAACTATGCTGTGGCGTTGATTCGTACAGCCACGTCAGGTATTTGCACAGCAAATATTTTAATCCCCAACTAATCACTTGGTTAGACCCCGTGTGTTAAGGGGGAGGGAGCTTAAGGAGGGTGTTAGCATGTTAGCTGGTGGCCTGGCACATTCCTCCTGTCAATGACGCCTTTGTTCTAAGGGGATTGTGGGAAGAGTAAAACATGGTGACCCCTGGAGAGGCACCCTCCAAATGCACTACCCTTCCCTCCTCCCACAACCACCCCTAAACACATGTCAGCATCCCGATAGACCTGCGTGTGTTTCTGCGTAATGGCACCTCTGGTCATGTGACATGTCGCTTGGCATTGTTGCAAGGACTTACAATGCCCCAATTTGTTTTAATGAACAAATCACTTTATAATACACAGCCCTTCGATAGCATAATTTATTTTCTCACATTTTCTGTGTTATATTAGCATCTTAGTGCTAGATTGGATGCAACAGTCCACTGCAACCTGCCAGACTTCACTGGGACTCAAGGCACCTAAATCAATTCAAAATGCCCAAAATGTATTTTTCTACACTGTGCATTTGAACATATGCCTGATTATGTTTTTATTCTCATTCTATACTTTTATTTTTCCCGTCACTCAGCTTTTCAGTCTTCAGAATAAGACATAAAACAGTTATTCAACAGTGGAAACATCAGTAAAATAGCATAATCCAACTGTGTGAAGATGGATAATCGACTTTAGCAAGGGAAGATACCATACTGAAATTTACAGGGATGACAATGAGACTGTGAGGGATAGACATGTAGTCTTTACATTAATATGTACTGTATAAAATTTTCCAAAACTTTCCAACTTTACAAACTGTTTTATGGACTTTTTGTCTACAGTACTGAAAGTTATTTTTTCATGTGGAAAGATGCTTTGCCAGCTGAACAAATCAGCACAATACACAACACACTGTAATTCTGTCTCACACAGTTTTCATTTCTGTCAAAAATTAAATGTGGCTCTACCCTGACTAAGGTCTATAGTCAGCTTGTACGAATTTGCCACCCAATCTGTAGAAACTATTATTAACCAAAGTTCTTTATGTACTGGGACTTTCACACACCTGCACGTGTAAGCAAACATGTAATATAGAAACTTTAACAAGTGTTTCCAAGTTCTCCAACATCCAGACTTTCCACATTGAATGGAATGCAGCATAAATAAGGAACTTAAGAGGTTTAAAGGAGAATGAGGACAGAAAACTGATAAAGTGAACAATCCCTGAAAGAGAGATGAAAATCAAAGTTATATCCTCCAAGAGGAAACAAAAAAAATAGAGGTTGTCAGTAGAAATTAAGATAGAAATGTGTGAATTGAGTAATGAAACGATAAAAAAAAAATAATGAGAGATAATAAGGCAAAACAGTCTCCATCTGCATCTCACTGAGACCAGGAAGAATATGCCAGAGCAGTGTGCCAGCTCACAGCCCACTAACTGATGGAGAGGCCTGTGAAGACAGCGCTGTGGCAGTAGATATGCTTCTGAGAGAGGTGTAAAGAGTGGAACTGATTGTGCATGTCTCATTCGAGCTCTTCACAGCCCTCGCCCAGGGGGCTTGGCTTTCAACGTTGGGTGACGTGAGTGCACACACACACACACACACACACACACACACACACACACCATTGACAAAGCTTTCTCTCAAATATATGAGCACAAAGTTTATTTCATAGAGGTAGTCCAAAAATGTGCTCAAGATTCCTGCTTCATCCACTGGTGCTTCCTGTTCTACGCAAATGCTTTAGTATGGATCGGTTGTTAGCTGGTTTTGCTTCAGGTACCAGACTGAACATATCACACCAAGTGATGATACAACACGTCATGAAAATGTTGAAAATGAAACAAATACTTCCTTAAAGTTGCAGTGTGACGAAAATAGTGACAGATCTTTTCTTCTATATCGTGAAGTACGTCTTGGTCAAAATAGACAGAAAATGTAGGGATGGTTCAATTCTCCCATGTGGAGGCAGATCTTAATGTGAGCTTGCAGTCTACAATAAGAAAGGGGAGAGTTCAGAGACAATATGACAGAAGTCATACATCAAATCAAGTTATGACATTTTGATTAAAATTTACAAGGTTAAAAAAAATGAAACATGCATGGATGAATCTTTCATAAGAAAAAATATCATGCAACTGATCATGAAAATAGATAGGGTAATTTTCCATTTCATGCTGAATTTAAAATCAAACACTGAAATGTATAAATATGACCATGAATATGTATTTAACAAATACAAAAATGTAAAAAAAGATTAAAAAGATAACATAGGTTGAATAGAAAAATATCTTATTTATACTCTTTACATTCTTTATATCTTCTATAATCTTTATAAATGCATAAACAACAGCACAAGTGTGTTTGAAGTAGACATATGACATATCAAATTTTCATGTTGTGATAATTGCTTAAGCTTTTATCACGGTATACGGTATTATCACGATATTGGGAAAAGTTATAAAAAAGTGTTGTCATAACAGGTTTAACAACTTTTTTAACATAACAAAAAGAACTAGACATTTAAATACAATAAAGGAATACACAACAATGTATAAAGTAAACAAATGTTTCAAACAGATTAAAGTTCAGAAACAGAAAGCAGCACAGCTGCTTTAGTTACAGAGTTATGGGGTAACGGCTGCATTTCTGCTGTTCCATCAGCACCATCTGCTGTCCGCGATAACAATATCATGCATGTTCATTATCGTGATATATCGTATTACCGAATACCGGCACAAGTCTAGTTTGGAGACATGGCTTACATGTGAAGGTAAAATATAAATATACATTATATCACATTTTTCACAAATGTGACAAATTCTGTTTAAGTATTTTATGCTTTTTTTTAATCTATATTTACTGTACATTTACACATATGCATTACATTTATAGTGACTTATACGTGAAGAAATACAATAAACAATTCATCTTAAGGAGCCAATAATATAAGTGCAAGCAACACAAAGTTTCAGACATAATCTAGAATACAAGCTATACAAGATAGAACAGGGTGGAATAAAGTAAGAAGAAATTATTTATTTATTTATTATAATA